GTGGGGTGTCTGCAGAGGTGGGGCGACCGAGGCTGGGGCTGAAACAGCTTGTCTTGGCAGGGGAGGAGCGAATCAGGAGTCAGTCCCGGGGCCGTGCTGGCTGAGGTTAAGGGTGATTTCAGGGTCAGGTGGCTCCCTGCCCACTTCGCCACCTGCGGCCTTCAAGACGGACGGGCGTCTGTGTCAGGGTGATAGTTGGTTCCTGAAGAGCATGTCATCGGCGTCTGGGGTTGGGGGCAACGCCAAGGGGCTCCAGGGGGGTCCCCCGGACTGTCCCCCGGGGCCTGCCCTCCTCCCGCCCTTCTCAGGGAGTCTCCACAGAGACCACCAGGTACTCCTGGGGTCCTTGGGTGTCCTCTCTGCAGCTCTGGCCGGAGCCTGGGGACGCTGCTGGAGGAAGGACGCTGGCAGCGGTTAAGATCCCCCTTCCGTGGGGATGATAGAGCTTTTCAGATGCCAGTCTTTCTGCAGAGTGGGAGCAATTTCCCTGTAATTGGTAAAGTAACCGTAACTGCTCTGTCATTTGTATGTAGCGACACGTAATTGCACGGTAACCTTTGCCGCCGTGCGCGAGGGAAGTGGGAAGCGATTAGATTGTAATTCGGAGTGTCAGCTCCGGCTCCCCATGCCACTGCCACCACTGCTGCCCGGCAGGCCCCGGGAGGACGCCTCGGGGCCTGTCTGCATCCAGGTCCACTTCAGGGCCCTACCCCAGAGTGGGGATGCTTGTCCCATGCCATACTCTCTAGTCCTCTGCTAGGAAGGGTCCTCCACGGTGCGCCAGCCAGTGCTTCCCAAACCTCAGTGCGAGGGGTCAGCCGCCTGGAGGGGTGTGAAGGTGCAGACACCCCAGCCCACCCCAGACTTCCTGAGCCAGTCACACACTGGGGTTGGGGCCCCACGATTTGCATTTCTAACAAACAGCCCTCAATCTTCTGCTTTGGAGACCGTGTCTCTGCGCCCTCATTCAGCCTCCGTGGCCAAATATCTCTCCGGTTCGAAGGATCTTTAGGAAGCACCACCTTTATCTTGAAAACCTTAGCCCCTTTAATCTTGGCAACACCTCTGGGTAGATATCTTGAATTTCCTCAAAGATGCTGAGACTCACCAATTGTCTGAATTGATAACGATGACAAACAATAGTAAGAGCTGCCATTCCCACAGCACTCGCTAAGTGCCAGGCATTGTTCCAAGTGTGTTAAATCATGTAGTCCTCACCACAGCGCTATACAGTAGGTACTATTATTATAATCCCCACACTGCAGGAGATAAACTAAGGCACAGAGAGGTTAAATGAGTTGCCCAAAGTCACACAGCATTAAGTGGCAGAGCTGGGATTCAAACCTAAGCATTCTGACTCTAGTTCAATACTGTTAGCCGCTGTGAAACCCAGGCTTTTAGTTATCCATCCATCCATCCATCCATCCATCCATCCATCCATCCATCCATCCATCCGTTTAACATATATCTATTAACCTGCTGTGCCAGGAACTAAGCTAAGGATACAAAGATGCATAAAACATGGTCCCTGTCCTTGGGCTCATAGTCTCTGGAATGCACTGGATCGCCTGTTTTAATTCATACCCCATGGGGTCTGTGAGGACGTTGGAGGTAGCGGCAAGAGTACACAGTGTTTTCCTGATAGGGGCCCAGAGGGTGTGTCCCTGTTGGAGCTTCTAGATCTGTCGACAGGGTTGCTGCATGGGCATCCTTACTGCCTCCCTTACTCCCCTCCCTTGTGAGAGTGGAGTTGCTCTCTAATAAGCAAGCATTGTAATGGTGGCCACAACTCACTCGTGGCTATTTGTGGAGTGATGGAAGGCCAGCCCTGGGCCCGGGGCACGGCTGGGCTCCTGATTACAGCACAGCCCGGTCCTGGCTCCTCTGGCTGTGGCTCTAATCTCACTGTTAATGGGGCCCCGGGGGAGGTGCGGCCAGAGCCAGAGCAGACACTGTGCTCCCCCACCGCCCAGGGTGCTCAGGCATCCTCACAGCCCTCACCTGTCGAAGGTTTTGCCAATTAGCCTTCCCTTCCAGGGCCCGGGAGCCCTGGCGTCTGCTCCTTGTGCCTCCACCTCCCTGGTCTGCGGGCCCCAGGGACCCTCCCTCCTCCTGCTTCAGGTACCGTAATGACCATGTGGCTGCGGCTCAGGCCCAGCAATGCACACTGAACTGAGCGCCATGCTCTGGTCATCGTGCATGCTGGGGCCATTCCCTGCAGCCCTTCTACCCCTCTTCCTGGCAAAATTTCCACTAGAAAAACTCTGCATGGATGATCTTATGTTGGTGAAGTGCTTCCCAGTTCTGCTCACTCCTACGACCTTTCCCACTCGACCGCCGAAGAATGTCGGGTTCAGAAAACAGCAGGAGCAAGTTCCGCAGTTGGGGAGCAGCTGGGCTGCCATTTGGACCCATGTCTGTGATTTTTCCCACTGCTCCGATGGTAAGAATGCCCGCCCCAGCTTTGGGGAGACATGGAGTAAGGCTGCCTCCCACTGTGGCTGGGGAATCCCGGCATCCTCACACACCAGGACTGTGCTTGGCAAAGGCCTCAACCTCATCTTCATCACCTGGGGCCCGTTCAGAGGGAGAACAGAGCCACAGGGAGACTTGGGGAGAAAGCTGTCATCGTCCCAACTCTCACCTGGGCCTCTTGTTGGGTGAGGTGCCACAGAGGAAGGGACTCACAAGTCCCTGACTTTCTGGTAACTTAATGATGTGGCTGACCAAATGCATACCCTCTTTTTATAGGTGGCTGTTGATTTGCTTGTGTTTTGCCAAGCCAAGGGAAGCCTCGTGGTCAGTAACCCTGACTGCTCAGAAATGCAGTTCTGGGGGTGCTGCGAGGCCTGAAGCCTCCCCAGGTTAATGAGGGCATATGTTGGTGGCAGGGGTGGGGAAACCTGGACTGCCTCGATCCCTGCCTCAGTTTACCCCTGTGCACTGTGGACGATCATTCAACCTCATTGATTTGGAAAATGGGTCATAATGAGCAAAATACAAGGTTTGCTGATGGCAGAGGTCCCTGAACCACAGCTTAGGACCGAAAATGTCAGGGATGCCTACTCCTCGTGAGCCAGAAGCAGGACATGCAAAGGCCATGCTGATCCTCCCCAGCACCCCGGGCTTCCCGGAAGGCCTGGCCGGTCGCCGCAGTTATGTCTAGTGCAAAAGGGATCGTCTTCCCTCTGCCTGGATTTTTCCTTCCTCTCTTCTGCCCTCTCATCTGTCTCCTTTTCTTCATTGTAGGGAAGAATGATAAAGATCAGACTAGATCTTGAAAGCTCCCTCCGAAATTTGATTCCCATGGTTTTTCCAGGGGGAGGGGAAAGAGCTGTGTTTGGTCTGGGCTGCTGGACCGGTCCCTGCAGGAGGGGCCCGAGGCTACCAAAGGCCTGGAGTGGACATCTGCTCTGCACCTGGCCTGCTGGGGCTGCCCACACTCTGCCCGTCTCCACCCCAGCTGCTGCCACCCTGGCAGGAAGGAGGGGAGAGGTCGGTGGGGGGCTTTGGGCACTCAGCAAGCCGTCTCCCCAGAATGGGCCTGGGAGGAGCCCCCGAGGCCCGGGGCTCAGAGCTGGCCGGGTTCGCACGGCCCCGCTGGCGAGGGCCTGCCTGCTGTTCTCCAGATGCCTTTTCCTTTGGCTGGTTCCAAGCCTTTAAAAAAGTGACACCTTGTATTTTATTTCACTCCTTTCTCTGAAAAGTCCAGCGATGTTTACGGGCATGAGCTCAGCAGGCTTTATGGCAGCCCACAAAAAGCAGGGATTTTTTCGCTTGTCTTTATAGAGTGGAAAGTAAAAGCACGGGAAAACGGAATGCCTCCTCCGAGGCCATGCGGCTCCTCCAAGAAATTGAACAATCCGGTGTAAGTTCCCAGCACTGGGGAGAGGTCGGTGCCAGACAAAGCTCCTTGTGGAGAGTTCCGAGGGCTCCTTACTGGCCACCGGCTGCTGTTGGGGCTTCACCACTCCCCAGGGACATGGAACCCAGCTGAGACCCTCTGTCACGTGGGGGCTCTGGGGGGTCTGCTGCAGAAAGGGGAGAGATTCAGCCAGAAATACAGTGGAGGAGACAGGCTTTTCCTGCTGGTTCCTGACTCCTGGAACTTTCCTCCCTGGAGTCAGGAGCCAGAGCTGGGGCGGAGTGTCCCACAGGCTACCTAGAGAACATTCTCTTTACGGAATGCCGGTAGCCGCTCCCGTCCAAAGCTGCTCAGGGAGTAACATGTTTGGGAAAGGCTGAGATAAAGTTACACGTGTTTCTTCTTAAAAAGACTTTGTAGACCTTTCATGGAACTAATCATTATGACGCTCTTAGATGGTGTTAGCACGTTTCCCAGAATCTTGCCTGGGAAGCCCTTTTGTGTAGAGCATCTCGGGGGGACTGGGGTTCCACAGATGACACTTTGGGAAAGGCTGGTGTAGGCATGCCAAGGCCAGGGCTGCCCTTGCTTTGCTGTGTTCTAAAAGAAATAGGGAGCCTGAGATCGGGGGTGGTGAGGCGCACCTCTGGGTGGTTGAGTTCCGTCCTGAGCCTCCCATTCCTCCTCCCCTACCGATTGTGTGTGCACGCCCCTGAGTGACGGTGCTGTTCACGTGTGAATGCTTCTGGTTCACTGTCGAGGCCTCTGCACAGCGTGTGTGTGTAGATATGGAGACCGCATGCCTCTCATGCCCGAGCAGTGCTGTCCGGAGCCCCCACCCCAGTGGCAGTGAGGGGCCATCCCAGCTACCAGGATGGCGGCTGGCGAGCTTGGGGGAGGCGCGGTGAGAAGGGACGGGGAATCTGTGTTTCTGCCGTGGTCCTGCAGCGGCTGGCGCAGATGACTGTTCACGGACACCTAGTTCTCCGGCGCGGAGTTTTTCACATCGTCAAGGAGGGATTTGTGCCAGATGGTCCCTCTCTAAGGATTTTCCTAGTTCCATAGTTCCTGGACTTAATACCTCTGCCATTCGCCCTGATGCTCCCTTCTCACTTTTCTGTTTTCACGTTTTCAGCTCCTGACCATTGATGATAACTTCTGTGGCCTGGACATGAACGCGCCCCTGGGAGTGTCCGACATGGTGCGTGGCATCCCCGTCTTCACCGAGGACAGGGACCGCATGACTTCTGTCATCGCCTACGTCTACAAGAATCACTCTCTGGCCTTCGTGGGCACCAAGAGTGGCAAGCTGAAGAAGGTAGGAGTGCGGTGCCGTCATTCTTGTTGTCGGGAAGACAGTCTGTTCCCGCTGGGATGGACGCTACTTTGTGTTTTTTTCCTACCTGGGCCTGTGGGCTGGCGGTCCGGGTCCGAGCTAAGGAGGTGTGCGGCTGTCGAGGTCATGAGGATCACCTGGTCCTCTCTCTGCCTCTGTGCAGAGGTTTTGGGTGAGCGTGAGGATTCGCCTCTTCCCTAGAGCTGGTGTGCACACGGAAGGCATCAGCCCAGCCGGCTAGGTTGTTGGAAATGGCCCAGTGCTCTGTTCAATTGGGCTCGTGCCCTAAGGCCAGGGCTTTGTCAGGTCTAGGTGGTCCAGGAAGGTGGGCAGGGGGAAGGGACGTGCCTGTCTCCCTTGCTCCAGCCCTCCTGGCTGCTGTGTCATCTGGAATCCATTCGGGGAACAGATAGGGGAAAGCGCAGGCCTGGTAGAGTCGCTAATGGGGCTTAGAGCCAAGCTGGGGGGTGAGGACACCAAGGGGTGGTGGGAGCATAGAACCGCTCTCGGTGGGGCGGAGCGCCGTGTGCTGGGGACCTGACCTTTCCTGCTTGTTCTCCAGACGCTGGCTGGCTTTGGGCACGGGGTGATCTTGTCTCCGTGTTGGGAGCATTCATCCATCCAGGAATGTTCTATTCTTGGGTTTCTCGTCTCCAGGAGTAAGAGCTGGCCCTAGCGCATGCCCTCCTTGATTGGGTTAAAAGCTTTTCTAAGACAATAGGCAAGAGGTCCTGTTTCCTGCTGGCCAGTAATGGCGCTTCAGTGCCTTTCGAGGAAACACTGGCGATCCCACGTGGAGCTCCTGTCTGCCTTGCTTAGGCCTCTGCTGGAGCTCTCTGGACCTGGTGTGATTCTGCCTGAGTCTGGAGGCACCGCCTGATCCAGACCGAGCCTCACTCCTACCTGTCCCCTTGGCTGTAGTTCTGGTGTTAGCGCCGGAGGGTCAAGAGGAAACGTCCTGTGCGTATTTAGAGGACTGTGCCTATTTTGTCGTCCTACTGTGTAAGAGCCCAGCGCGTCATTTATTCCTGCCCTCCGACATCTCCGTGGAGCAGGTTGTGGGTCTGGAACGTGAGGGTGTGGACAGCGAGAGGGGGAGCACAGGGTGTGTGAGTGCAGGACATGTGTGTAGAGCCATTGTGTGGGTCGTGTCTGGGACTGGAGAGCACGGGCACTGGTGAGACGTCGCGGCACCCTGCAAGGAGGGCGCACGCAACCTGCCGCGCACCTGGCACTGCCCGGCAAGGGGCAATCACCTAATTTCAGTGCTCTGCCTGCAGTGTCACAACTAAAAAATAATCTAACCATCGCCTACACATCTTTAAGAATTATATTTCCCGGTTTCCTGCCCTTCTGTGAAGCATATAGAAAACATACCGGAACCTTTCCTCGCTGCCGTGACTCTCTGCTGTGATGTCCGCTCACACTGAGCTTGGTGGGCGCCCAGGGAGGACGCTGTGGGGTGTGGGCGCCTTGTCCCCGCACAGCTGCCGCGTCTGACCTGCGCAGCCTTCCTGGGTCTTCCTCTGTGTGCCTGGCCACTCTGAGGAGAGAAGTGCATACACTTTCAGGCAGGGACCCTGTGGACATTTCTGTCGGTTCCTCAGATGACACAGTTCTTCACTGGGATTCGATGAGTTTGCTTTGTTGGAACAGTGAATTCTAAATGCCCGAAGCCTGGCCGTGTACAAGTCACACAGCGTGACGTTTGTGATCTGCTTTGCCTGCTCCATCGGGTGAATGGGCGCTGCTGAGGAGGGCGCGTGACCAAGGCAGTACAGGGTGCCTGTGCTCTCCTCCAGCATGCCCGGTCTCAGTGCAATGGAGCAGTAACTTCCTCCCCTGCCCTAAAAGACTCCCACCCACGGGATGTCCTGCCAGCTGCCAGGGGATCCTTCACTTGGGGGCAAGACGGAATAGACCCTGGGTAAGGGTTTTTTCCCCCTTGTTATTGTCTGAGCTGGTTAGACAGTGAATGATGTCAGCAAAATGAACATTGAGAGTTCAGTGCACATAACAGGACAGTTATTTTTCTCTTGGGGGGGAAGAAGACATGTTTCCTGGCTACAGCTGCATCCTAAACCCAGACAGTCAACTTGCAAATGCATGCCATCGGTCCAAGGGTGGGTTGAGGCAGATGGTGGCTAGCGCTTTATCACCTGTGGAAGGCTGTCCCCAGGGAGGCCAGGTGCGGCACATCTCCACGAGTGTGGGATGAGGCTGGCCCAGCATCGTGGGCACACAAAGCGCTCAGGGACAACCCTCCTGGGACAGGCCCGGAGGGGGGGTGGTGCAGAGCCCAGAAGTCAGCCCGGTGGCAGTAACAGGCAACACCCGCCCAGGAGGCCGGGGTTTCATAAATCACTGGCCGGCATTTCCCGTCTTTGCCTTTGGTGGGTTTATATAAGAACAGTTCAGTTTCAGCCTCCTGGGACAGGCCATCTAATTTCTAGAGCAATGGCGGGGCCAGTGAGGCATAAGCATTTGAAAGGTAAGGGTGGAGGGGCCATGTCGGGGGAATGAGTCGCCTCGGTCCCCCTGGGGAAAGCGGGGCCACTGGGGCGGCCAAACTTTCTGCTCCACGGGCTCAGAGTGGCAGCCTTTTAATAGCGCGGCTCCAGCCCAGCCCCCGCTCCTGCAGACTCAGCACAGCCGGCCCAGGGGGACAGTCTGAGTTGGGAAAGGAAGGCTGGGCCGCCCAGTCTGTCATTTGAAATAATAAAAAGCAAAAGTGGCCCGTTTATTTATTTTTTCTAAACAATAGAATTCCCGAGCATCCCTTGCTCGTGAAGCACCACGCCCCTTCCCTTGTAATAGCTCTGACTTGCTGTTCCCAGAGGTTATCAGGACCACAGTCACCTTTTGGGCAGAAGCCCAGCCATGACAAGCTATAGGGCTGCAGGAGGACCGGAAGATTGGGCTGGAAGTTTTGTGAGTGCCCGAGGCCGGGGTGTGGGAATAATGGAAATCATACTGTAGCCGTGATTACAGGGTCGGCTTCTCTGAGCCCTGTAATAATCTCCTGTGTGCATCCAGGACCTTTCAGAGTTCTTTGCAATGTGACAAGAGACTTGAGGTGGGGGTGATGGTGGGTGGGAGGGGGCTTGGTGGTTTGCTGAGAGTAAGGGGGTTTGCTGTGAGTTTCAGGGACCCAGGAGCTAGACTGAGCTACCTGGGGGCTACCGTCAAAATTACTGACTTTTCGTTTTGTTTGAAAGTTGTGGCTGCCAATCATTTGCAACCTTGCCTTTGATGACCGTAATTTCACTCCTTTAGTGCACACATGACATGAGGCAGGGGGAAAGGAGGTGATGAAAGTACCAATTTGGATGTCTTTCATGTTTTCGGATGTGTGTGCGTTATGGATGGTATTGGCAGCCTTTTCCCATGTGAGCATTAAAGGCGTGTGTGGTTATGAAATGTGGCATATAAATTCTAGTCATCAGGAGCTATCTAGGAACTTAGAAATAACCTGCAGACTTTTAGTTAACATTTTAACTGTAAGTAAAACTCTTAAGGCAAATACCATCTTGACTTGCTTTAGGGTCAAGCAAACCTAAAACCTTTGACCCAAGTTGGGGTCACTGGGTCAGTGTTGTCTCAGAAGGACATGATTTCTTTGCTTAAATATTTCTGTTGGAATCCTTTCTCTTGCTCTGTCTGTCTCTGCCTCTTGCTTACCTTTTACTAAGTGATCATTTTTATGGCTGCTTTTCCGCAGTGAATTACTGCCTGACATTAGCAGGAGAGACTAATGTTCATTGTGAACCAACACATCATAAACTTCTGCTTGATGTGTGATTGCTTCTTTCGTTTTGTGATTGCATCTTTCCTTGGTGTTTTGCTAGGTTCAGCTGTTTGCACCTAAGGGTGGAGCACTCTGTGGATGTTGGTTAAGCAGAACTCTCAGCTCTTAGCCTGTTGCAGGACATGCACTCAGGTATACGTGCACGTACCCATCCATACCAGCCTCTCTGCATAGGAATTGGGCGTGTGTCTGCATGGAAAGTCAATAGGAGTAGATAACACAAAATCCTTCTTATTGGGAATTGTTGTACAGATTAATTTAATCTTCACAATTTTTTTTCTTGAGCCTGTTTTAAAATTAATTTGCTGTGGTCCCTAGGCCCTCTGCACGGGTCCACAACGGGAGGTATGAGACCACCTGGACTCAAGTGCTGTTCTGAGCATTGCTTCTCAGGAGCGGATGCCGTGTGTGTGTGTCTGTAGTGCTGGAATTGCAAAGCAATATCAGATCAGAGAGTCCAGCCCCTGCTTTGCTACTTCCTACACGTATCTGGGAATTCTTTCTAAAATTCCTCTGGAATTTGAATCCACTTTAACTGAAAATACATTCATGCCCCATAAAGCTGTTCTGGTGGGTGGAAAGATCAGGAAATCGAACAGAGATAACAGTGCTGGAAACTCGAATTGACTAGGAACCTGTGATGAAGGCAGAGGGTCAATGTATTTGAAACAGGGTTTGGTCGGGTAGCTCTGCTGTGCTATTTGTTTTTCAAACCTGAGCTGCCACAGGTTCCCGTGTGGAACAAACAGAAAGGAAAAGAAAAGTGGCAGGATCATTGCTGACCAATTTCCATGATGAGTAAATGCCATCAAAGCATTTTTGTTTGATTGTTTTTGCTGTGATGTTTCTGCACTTTCCACCTCTGGTTTTGCAAATATTGAGTCTGCCTAGATCTCAACCTGTGGGTCATAGGAAGGGGAGGCTGAGGTTGAAAGAGCTCCAGGCAGAAGAGCCCACTGATGTACCAGTGGTGCCACCCTCCCTCACCCTCTCTCCCTTGACTTCATGTCTAACCAGTGACAGGGACATGGTGTTCTGTCGTTAGTCCTTGCAGCCTTCAGGCCAGTTTTCCTGGTGCCAACCCATGTACTTCTCATGGGCCTTCCGCTCACCTCCTCTCAATCTCTTCTGCTGTGTTTCAGCTTTTTTCATGCATGTTGTGCCCAGTAGATAA